AGAGGGGGCTGGCCCCATAGCATAGTGGTTAAGTTTGCCATGCCCTGCTTTGGACGCCCAGGTTCACGGGTTCAGACCCCAGGCACAGACCTACACCACTCGTCAGCCATGCTGTGGTGGTGACCCACATACAAAATAGAGGAAGACTGGCACAGATGTTAGCTCAGGGCTAATCTTCCTCAAGCAAAAAAAAAAAAAAAGAGGAAGATTGGCAACAGATATTAGCTCAGAGAGAATCTTCCTCAGCAGGAAAAAAAAAATCTCTGAGGGAGTAAAGAGAAGCAAAGAGGGGGTACAGATGAAATAGTATTGGCCATGTGTTGACAACTGCTGAAGGCAGATGGAGAGTACATTGTACTATTGTACTCACATTATACTATTTTCGCTACTACTGTATATTTTACAGATCTTCCACAATAAAAAAAAAAAAACAAAGGCAATTCTACTGACCTCTGTTAAACATTGAAAAATAAAATTGAATCCTTAGGTACTTGAAGGATGGTTTCTGGAAGATACATGTAACCAAGGATTATTAAATTTTGGAGAGTGAGAGAAGAGCTTGTAACCAAATTCTGATGTCCTTACTCCACATTTTCAAACGACAGCATATTATAATGACATTAATAATAATAACAACAGCAGCTGCTGCAACAGCAACAGTTCATATTTATTGAATACAAACTATAAGCCTGCAACTGTTTTAAGAGCTTTACATTGTCTATCTCACTATTATTATCCTCACTTGATAGATGAGTAAACTGAGGCTAAGTAACTTGGCTACTGTGCTAGTAAGTAAAGTCCTGAGGAGCCAGGATTTGAACCCAGAGAGTCTGCTTCTATAATCCATTCTTTCATTCATTCAGCAAACATTTATTGAGTGGCTACCATGTTCCAGGCACTGGAGTAGCAGTGGTGAATAAAAGAATGAAAAGTCCTGCCAGCGTGGGGCTTCTATTCCAGGGTGAGGAGACAGACAAAACCCAACGTGCTTAGTAAGTAATATGTGTATTTTAGAGACAGTGGAAGTACTGTAGAAAAAATAAAGCAGAGAAGAGGAGAGGGAGTGACAGGGTTGTCAGAAAGACCTGACTAATATGGTGACATTTGAGCAGAGACCTGAAGGATGTGGGGTAGGGAATTTCAGGCAAGAGAAGCATCATATGCAAAGGCCCTGTGGCAGGAGCTTGCTTGGTGAGTTCAAGGATCAGGACAGAGGCCCCTGTGCCTGGAGCTGAGGACAGACAGGGAGAACAGTAGACGTGTGGCCAGGGAGGTCAGAGTATGTGATGCTTTGATGGCCATTTGGGCTTTTAGTCTGAGTGGGATGGGAGCCACTGCACTGGGGGGTTGAGCAGAAGAGGGACCTTTCCTAAGGTCACTCAGGCTACTGTTTTGATAACAGGCTGCAGAAGGTTAAGCAGAAAAGTAGGGAGCCCAGTTAGGAGGCTCCTCTAAGACCCAGGAGAGATCCTAGTGGCTTAGCTCAGGGCTGTGGGTGGGAAGAGGGCAGATCTGGAATATATTTTGAAGATGGAGCTGACAGAATTTTAATTAATAGCCTTGCTCTTAACCGTGGTGCCACTCTCAAAACATTTATTCACGTTCATAATTGCTTGAATTTAAAAATGAAGACTTGCTGTCAAATAAAACAAAGAACATTTTACCTGCGGGAGACCGTGAGCCTGAGGGAGGGCGTCAGTCTGGGAGGAGGCTCCACGGTGGTGGGAAGCGCGTGGGTGACCAATTTTTCCCCACGTTTACACGGGCTCTCTGCATCCCAGAAAACCCCTGAGTCCCGAGCGAACTGGGATGGTTGGTCACCCTACTCAGACACGTGATTTGCATTCCACCTCTGCCATCTTCGCCCTGGAACTTGCTGCAAATCATTTAGGCCTCTGAGCCTCAGTTTCCTCACCTCTAAAGGGGGACGATAATCTACTTGCTCGGCTAGTCTGAGGGTCTTACGAGATAGTGGATGTGAACGTGCTTTGTAAACTATGAGCAAAAATTATGTGTTAATAATATATATACTACAGGGTCTCTGGAGCGTGTGATGCCAGGCCCCAGGACCTCCCCGCTTCCTTCTCAGGAGGTCAGGAAGCCCCTTTCCTGCTGGGCGCTTGAGAAGGAGGGAGAAGGGCCAAGACGTGGACGATCCCCATGGCCCCAGGCCTGGCCTCTGGAGTATCCCTCACCACCTCCAGGACTCCCACGCTCTCCTCTGTCTCTACCCCTACTGCGGGGCTCAGTCTGCCTTTGGCCTCACTTGCTGAGGCCCTGCAGGCAGGGAGTTGAGGGCCCCGCGGGGGAAGAGGCTGCAGCGTGACCCGGCTCTGGGGCACCAGGGGGCGCGCCAGAGCACGGAAGCGGAAGGCAGCACCCCCTTAGTCATTTAGCACAGAGCCCACGGTGTTTTTAGTAGCCCACGAAAATGTTTTAATGTCTTCTAACACCGTATAAAAAACATATACTCTAGCTTGCCACAGGTGCAGTCATAAAACATAATTTATACATTTCTGTGAAGGAAGCGGCCCACAAAGGTAAAAGTGCTTCAAGTCCACGGAAGACTTAATGTAGCCCTGGAGAGAGAGAGAGAGTCAAAGCATGCTGGGGCAGCATCTCCATCCACACACAGTTCCATGGCTTCTCTCAGCCAATTAGTTCATTTATTTATGTTCAATTTATATGGAGACCTCCTTTTCCTTGGTCTAGAGACAGCGCCTTTTGAATAAGAGCTACTCCCTTTCCAGCCACAAGAAAAAGGTTGAGGGTGGTGGATCAGTCCATCTATCTACCCACCTTATCTATCTACCTCTCTACACATCTACCTACCTATCATGTGTCAGCTATCTACCTATTTCTTTTTACAGAGACTTAGAGAGTCAACACAGGAAGCCTGACCAGGACTACCATTGCTTCTCTCCACACGCTGTGGTTAGTAAACATGTTATCTCAGAGAACTTAAATTCCCAGCTTGAGAATTGATATACAACATCTGTTTGGTGGCTTGGGTAATCCTGTTTAACCTGTCTAATTCATTTATTAAGAAGTCTCTGGAAAATTACCTGAGATTGAACTAACATGGCCTTTGGAAGTTTCTATGCTCGAAACTTTTATAAAAATGTTCATCAACAACTTGTCCCAAATCCTTTATCAGTGGTCTTCAAATTGTGTTCTGAAGGTCCTTCCAACACACACACACACACACACACACACACACACGCACATACGAGTTTCTCTTCAGAGACCCCTCAGCAGCTGCACAGGGGGCGGTATAGGATGATATCACAGGCAGGATGAAGCTGCCTTCCTTCCCTATCCTTCCTCTATTTGTAGCAGCCCTAGTTTACTTGTGGGTGCCACGTAAGGTTTTATTTGAACAATAGGTTCTGTGGCTAAATAAAACTTGTAAACCATTCTCTACAACTGGAAGTTGTAAGTCTTTTTCCATGATGATATTTTCAAGCGCTGACGTACCTTTAAATAAGACGTATGTGTAAGCAATTTAAAGAAAGTAATAATTCTTATCTTCAGGATCAAATTTTTATTTATTTTTTTTTTGTGAGGAGATCAGCCCTATGCTAACATCTGCCAATCCTCCTCTTTTTTGCCAAGGAAGACTGGCCCTGGGCTAACATCCGTGCCCATCTTCCTCCACTTTATATGGGACACCGAAACAGCATGGCTTGCCAAGTGGTGCGTCGGTAGGTGTCCAGGATCTGAACCGGCGAACCCCAGGCCGCCGCAGTGGAGTGCGCGCACTTAACCACTTGCGCCACGGGGCTGGCCCCAAGGATCAGATTTTTAAAGGTGACATTTTTACTCCATTTATCTTGTTCAACAGCTGAATAGTAACTCTGGCTCTTACTGGTTAGAAGAGTCCTACAACCTTTGACATGCTCTGAGATCTCAACTGGTTGGAGAATCAGAGAAATTCTAGTTTTGGCATTAAAATAAATGCTTCTATTAAGTTTTGGGATTGACAAAGAAGAGGAGAGAGGAGGGGTGTTGCAATTCTAGCTTCTAAAGGATCTATTTAACAAATACATGACTTGGCTCTGTTTCATTGACCTCTAACACAGATCATTCAACCTCACAGACCTTCTCTTGGATAAGAACAGGACAGAGGCAAACCCACTTATAAACTGGGGGTGGGGAGGACTTGAGCGTGAGCACCTGGAACAAGAGGAATTTTTTCCATTTTAAAAAACCTTCCTGGGGTTGATTTCCATAAGTGTACATTTCCTCTTCCTAATCCTAGTCGTTAATCACCAAGTAATGTTTAATGAGCACCTGCATGGATCATAGATTCCACAATTCAACCTGAAAACTCAAATTTGGGGTTGCCTCTGCCTCTAATAATTATGAGTCACCCCCCAGGGTCTGCTCCTGACTTGTTTGGGATCTCTGTTGCTGGCAGAACTTGAATCAGGGCAGTGGATTTCAATGTCTTCTGTTACTCCTCTCCTCACCTTTTCTCGAACCTAGGGTCTCTCAACCTCCGCACTATTGACACTTTGTGCTGAATAATTCTGTATTGCGGGGAACCTGTCTTGTGAGTGGTAGGATGTTTAGCGGCATCCCTGACTTCTATCCACTAGATGCCAGTAACACTCCTTCCCCAGTTGTGACAACCAAAAATGTCTCCAGACATTGTCAAATGTCCCCTTGCAAGGGTGGTGCATGGGAGAAGGAAGGGAGCAAACTTGCCTCCTGTTGAGAACCACTGCTCTCTAATCCATGAACATCCCCAAACTGAGAATCCTATCAGGAATTATCTGGCCACCAGAAGACATGGTTCTCAAAGAAACCTTAGACCCAAGTGATTTAACCAAGTCAGTGTTCTCAACCCTGTCTTCACATTAGAATCATCCAGATATTTACAAATCACTAACTGGGCATAAGTGTTTTATAAAAGCTCCCCAGGAGATCTCGGTTTGTAGACAGGCTAGACAACCTCTGAACTAAGTGTACTCAGCAGTCTTAGTATTCATAAAAACTAAAGCAAAACCCACCCAATTTTATTTCAAACAGGAAATATCCAGGTAGTTTCAGAGCAAGAAAACAATTCCATATGTTGGTAGAAAATAGAACATAGGCCACTGGAAACAGTTCATATTTGCTTTTTGTTGTTCTGTTATCGTCACAAAGCAGTTGGGGAATGGAACGCCTCGTTGATGCTGCTCTTTTTCACAGTTTGGCTGGAGGTGCATCACTCCATGTAGAGCAATTTTTCTGGTGTTTGTAACTCACAGAGATGCTTTTGACCAAAGTGTTATCCATTAGAGAACTTCACAGGCAAGAGCCTGACCAAGAGGAAAGTCCTCAAATGGAATGTTTGGGATTGGCAGGGGAGGAAGATCAAGACTTAGCAAGACCAAACGTGGGTTAGGAAGGGAGGCCATTGATAATATTTTCAGCAGTTGAAGAATATGATCAAATCACTCCCTCTTTTCTTTGTTAATGCTTCAGTAACAGCGGGAGTAAAACCAGACAATGAAGGTCTTTATATCTTAGGATCCAGGAGAATTATGTCCAGAAGGTGTACATGTTCTGGCAGCTGCCAATCCCACTTCTTCTGGCCAGCCAGGAAGGGCTGGCCAAGATTCTCAGCCAGTTATTGATCTTCTGGAAGTTGTAGAATGCATTAGACGATGTTCAACTTTCCATGTGACCTTAGGCAACTCAGTTAACTTCCCTGAGATTTTGTTTCCTTATTTGAGAAATGGGCAGCATGGTATTTACTTCAGACAGTCACTATGAGGATTAAATTAGATAATATGTGTGAAAGTGCTTTGTGAATTATAAAGCCCAATAGGTATATTATCTTTCCAGGGACTTTCCATCCTGAAGATTATACTACACCAGGAGCCAATGGCTTTTAGTTCTGGCATCTAAGGCGTGTATAGAATAATGGATGAGTGTAGCCATGGACTTAACTTGTCAAATGTCTGTCCTCAAGTGGGCAATTAGGAAAATACATTTGAGCTAAAAATACAGAGTGATGTATATTTCATGACTGAGGTTATGATTGTATATTAGGTTATTATATACTAAAGACCAGGAAATTAATTGATGCTCTCTAAAATGCAAAGAGCAGGAGATTAGTCTGATAAATGGTTTCCATTAAAAAAATTCCATTTGGTTTCCCAAATTTATCTTGTCTCCTGAGGTTTCTGAGTGCCACAATGTCCTTCTCCTGAGCTGCATTCTACTGCTCTCTATATCCTTAGGTTTGTAGAATATCAAATTTATACAAAAACGGAGGCACAATATAACTAGAGAGTTAACCCATTGTCTCCCTAATTCATGGATATGTAACTGAAACCACTGTTTTGTCTTCCAGTTTAGTCTTGGTTGATACTCAGAATGTAATCTTTGTGAGTATTGAAAACAAAAAGGCTTTTGGTGATACTATTTCATACAGGTGATGCAGCTGAGACCATCCAAATAAGTCCTTGGTCAAGGTTCCGAGTTATTAGTGCTGGCCTGGTGATAAGGGTTCCCACCGAAAGATGAAATAAACAGGGCAGGAGAGAAGGTTGTTTCAGGGGACAGGCAGTCAGTGCTGTTCTAGGGGGAAGCTGGTAGAGAAGAGGTCAGTGTTTTCAAATCTTCACTCAGATGCTTTTCCAAATAGGTGTCCCACTTGGCTGGCAGAGAAAATTGGGTAGATCCTCCCCAGTCTTGTGAAAACACAGACACCTGGATGCTACCTTCCTAAAGAGAACACCAGCTCAGCCCGTTGTAAACCCAGAACTGAGCATGCACTACATTATCACGTTAAGTTCGTATTTCTCTGGTTTGGCCTCAGATTGTTCCGCCTCGAAGTCTGTGTCAGGGTCCGGGTGGTGGATTTCAATGACAAGAATATAGATGAGGCCTCCAATGGCAGCACCAACCAGAGGGCCCACCACAGGAATCCACCAGAAGTTATTTCCAGCCCTGAAATCAAACAAGAAATTAGTGATATAACGCTTGGCTTTCCTTCTGGTATTACTGCTAATTATTCACTAACCAGCTTCTTTCTCATGCTCCTGGCTCCCTTTTAACTCAGCAAGAACTAAATATAAGGGCACTCACTGTAGCTTGGCAACCGTCATCCTAGATTTTCCAGTATACCTGATTTCAGATGATCTATTCCATTGTCTTATTAGTACTTGTGAGAGAATATGTCCCATTTATTTTCCTTTCAGACAATATAGTCCCTGAACCCCTGGTCAAAATTGAGGGCATCTAGGGAAAGTTCAGGTCAAATATTCAGGAATTGCCTTTCCCTCATCCTGAAATAATGAGTCCTGGGCATTATGAATGGAGAGGAGATGTGGAGAGACTCCTGGACATCATTATTCTATAAGGGCAACCATAAAATAAACAATGAGGAAATGTTTGTCAATGAATGAACGAATTAAAAAAACTCAAAGGTGGTTTTATGAACTACTAAATATAATTTAATTCAGTGCTTATTTTTTGAGGTTACAGATTAAAGTTACTCTCTGATAAGGCTTTTGTGCCATGATTCTCTCTCTCTCCAGAAATCTTCAGTGTCAATACATTGTATTAAAGGCATAATTCCTGGAGAAAGCAGGTGCCCTTGTGAATTGTCACCAATCTTTTTCTGGAGACGGGAAATCCATTTAAATAACTCTATAGAAAGGACCATGAATGCTCAGAAGCAAGAAAAACTATACAGTATACTGTTTAAGGATATATAAATTTGAGATAAAATTTTAAAAGCAGGAGAATGATGAACAAAAAAATTTAGGATAACGCGGAGGAGGCAGAGGAATCCGAAGGAGCGCACAGATACGCGAGGATTTCACAGTGTTGTATCGGGGAAGGATGCCTGGCTGTTCTTTTTATCGTTATGCTTAATAACTACACATATGTTCCATGGGTCCTTTTGTTTGTATCAAATTTTGATTACAAAGGATAATAAAGGAAATAAGCACAAAACAAGATGCCTGTCCTAGAATTCGTGAGACCTAGTTCTTATCTCAGCACTGTCTAGAAGGTCTTTGGGCAAGTGTGCCCCTCCCTGAGCTTCGTGCTTCCATCTGCGCGGTGGTCCCTTCCACCTGGGTCATCCAAGCACTGCCTTAGATCAGAAATCTTAGATCGTAAATGCAGGCTCCGGGGAAGAGCGCTGAGATTGAGCACAGCAGCCACCAGATGTCACTCTTACTGCATGGGAGAGAGGTCGCTGCACTCTGCTGTTCTCACAGCGCCCTTTCCCACGCCCCCAAATCCAGATGGACTTTTCGATGAGAGGTACATGGGCTTTAAAGAACTAGGAGCCTTCTCTTCAGGTAAATACATGAAGCAAGTATAAGCCGCGTTATTTGGTCCATAACTTCCTTTCCTCCGTCGCTGTGTTATGGCGAATTTCTCACTGTCATTTAACAGATTAGGATCCAAGATATGTCCTCCAGCACACGTCCTCCTTTCCTGGCTGGACTTTCTTCCTTTTATCAGAGCTGAATGCATTGTGCCAGAGATGTGTCATAAATGGAGGAGCTCAGATATGGTTCCCTGCCTGGCTCAGTCTCATGTGTACACAGGGTCATTTGCACGCTATGATTTTGGGGTTGCCAAGAAAATGTCTGTGTCCATTGCTTAAGGTACCATCATCAGAGATTCATTCCTTTGGATAAACTATTTAAAAAATTAACAACATCTCTGAGATCTTTCATCCATTCAGTCATTAACACCTTAATGTGAATTAGTGGAGAGAACTTGCATAGGAAACATTCTATATTGAAGGGAAAAGCAAGAGTCAGGCAGGGGCCATTGACTCTTGCCCTTGTCAGACCCTCTGGTGCCCACTCCCCCAGTCATCCTCAATGCCTGCCATACAGGGGCAAGTGAGGATCCAAGAATAAGGTAGTCTTGGTTTTATCAGAGATCTTGGCTGTGGATCCAAGCTAGGGTAACTACTGAGATGCTTACCTTGGACAGCAAACATTGATAGGATGGGACACTCTAGGGACACTTTGGAGACCTATCACCCCTCAAAGGTTTTCTTGGGAACTTTCTGTGTGAAGATTACCAGCCAGCCTATCTCTTACCTAACTGGTTTCTGCCCCTTCTACTCTCTCTCTTTTAATCCATTTTATGCAATGATGTCAGGTTAATTTTCCTAAATTGAGGTTGTAAACATGTCAAATTTCTGCCCTAAATCCTTTGCTGTTCCCCATCACTTCTAGAACAGGGAGCATCAAAAACCCAAAATTTTCGTTCTGGGAGTCTAGGTCCTCTATGATCTGACAACAGTTGCCCTTTCCAAACTTCTTCATGCGCCCTTCCAGCTGGACTAGACCACTTGTTATTTTAACAATCGGTCTTCATATACAAGATCCTCTCTTCTTGAAATAACCTCTTTGTTCCCTGTTTAAGTATGTCAAAATGCTATAAAATGGCCCTACTTCCACCCCCATCATTCCTAAATTTGGAAACCTTCTCTCAATTTCTGGAGTTAATCAGTCAAATTTCTTTAATGGCACTTGACAGCTTCAACCTTGTGTAGAAGCCTGTGTTAACCCCTCTGAAATAGAACTTAAATAAAACAGTGAAGGGCAGCAACTGGGTCTTATCATCTTTAGCACAGGGCCTTGAATGAGAGATCAGGTAGCTGTGTGGATGAATAAATGAATGCATGAAGGGAAAAGACTCTTGATGCTAAACAAGGGACATGGAGCTCAGAGTTTGGCATTAGGTTACCCCAGCATTCTCCCACAGACATGGTCTCCCACCATATACTTAACAAAGCAAAGAGAGAATAAGCAAGAACTCTACCTGTTTTAGAACCACCATGACTCTTAGAGCTTTGGGTGAACCACCAAGATGGGCTCAAAGGGAGACCAGATCACCTTGAGGCATCTTTGTTCTAGGGGTCTGTGTGAAGCTAACAGAGGTGACCTGGTGGTGGAGGCAGTGGTCTCCTAGAGTGAAGCTCAGGAAGATGAGATTAAAGGAAACTCATGGGCTAATTCTAGCCTCTGGGAAGAAGGAGATCTTTCGGACATATGTTTTTGATTCTCCATTGGAAGACTACAAAGGATCCTTCATAGTTGGTGACATTTTGTTCAATCTTTTCATGTTCTAGTGGTGATCATTCTGGAACAGAGCTCCCCAACCGTGCACTCTTGAACATTTTTGGCCAAATAATTCTTTGTTGTGGGGATCTGTCCTGGGTACTGTAGGATGCTTAGCAGTATCCCTGACCTTTACCCACTAGATGCCAGTAACAACTTCTGCCTCCACCGTCCCCAGTTGTGACAACCAAAAATGCCTCCAGACAAATGTCCCTGGGGACAAAATTGCCTCTAGTTGAGAGACATTGCTCTAGAAAATTCATTGTATTGCTAGTTTCTTAAAGATAGGGAATGTTGCTTGATCTTCTTTGTATCCTCATCTCCTAGGACATGTCTGGCACATAGCACTTACCCATTCTTTGATTCAGTAACTTTTATTGGGACTTTCTGTGTGCCAAGCCCCATTCTACTCATGGTGGATACAACAGTGAAAAGCTGTCAAGGTCCCCATCCTCATGATGCTTACACTCTAGGGCTTTCAATGCTGTCTGTAATCTGAGTGGTGTCAGTTATTTTAATAGTTTGTTTTTCTTACTGGTGAAAGCAATGCAAACTCTTCCTTAAATAAGTCATCATATGTGTCTGACTATACGTGCTGATCAGCATTTAGGGACACTCAAGTCTTTTGTTCTCACAGCAAACATTAAAATTTGCTCACATATGTTTTTCCTACTTCTCTTTCTCCACGTTAGAGCCCTGTGAGTTCCCTTCTGGGATGCAGGAATGGATGCAGTGAATGGATGGGACGGGCCACTGTGACTTTATGAGGAGAACATGGGAAGGAAATAATGGGCAAAGTTTGTCCTGTGAGCTTGGTACCAACTTGGTACCAACTTGGTACCAAGTTGGCATATTTCCTCAGCACATTCTGAGGTGGAAAGCATGGGGTCTTGCCATTTCCTGTGCACAGACTGTCTTTTATATCTGTTCTGCCAGGAATCTCTTACTCATACCTCAAGACCCAAGCCAGCTCTCACTTCTTTGGTGGTGCCTTCTCTGACTTCCCCAGGCAGAGCTAGACACTCCCGTGTCTGTGTTCCCTCAGCACTTTGTTTTAGGGGTTGCTAGATCACTTATTACATTGCTCAAGGCTAGTGTCTTAGCTGAGTTTGAAATTGCCTTACGTAGCACAGTGACTATAGTATAGACAATACTCAATGAAGATCTGTTGAATAGTGAATGAATGAATGAAGCATAACTAGCCTGGCTCACTAGAAAGAGCCCTGTAGTAGTATCAGATGTAAATTCCAGTCTTAACTTTGTCATAAAGTGAACCTGTAGACAAGTTATACAACTAAAATATTCACATAAAACCATATACCAACTGAGGAATCATTATTATTATATAGGACAGGCCTATCCCTTTTGAGTTTACTTAGAGCCTCTGTCTCTTTGTCTCTCTCTCTTTCACTGTCTTTCTGTATCTGTGTCTGTCTCTCTATTTCTTCATCTTTCCCTCTCTCGTACACACCCCCTGCCCTAAATCACCAATCACCAGTGAAAAGTTTCACGCTGATGACCAGAGTATGCACTTCACCTCCATCCTCCCACCTGAACTCTCCTGGATCTCCAAGTCAAAGCACAGCTCTCCCTGATAAGGCGAAGAATGAATCTTTCTCTCCTCCCACCGTTGTTACTTACGTGAAGACCTCAAACCCCCATCCTGCCAAAGCAGTGAAAAATCTGGGACCCAGGTCTCGAGCCGGGTTCATGGCACAGCCACTGTTCAGTCCCAAAGAGGAAGCAATGACGACAATCAGGAGGCCGATGACAATGGGCTCTAGGCCTTTGGGGACTCCCATGTTTCTGGAGTCAAAAATGGCGAAGATGATCATGAGGAGGAACATGGTGGCCACTACCTGGAGAGGGAGAAAATGTGCAAGGGGTTAGCTGATAGTCTGCCCACTTGCCCACCTCAGAATTCACTCCTTCTCGTTAAAACAAACCTAGTAATAACTAACATACACTGGGTGAGGACACTGTGCCAGGCACTCTTCTTATCACAGCAATCCTAGACGTGGTGCTAATAGCACCCTCCTTTACAGATTAGTTACCTACCCAAGGCCACACACTTAGTCAGTGGCAGGCAGGTATGGACCCAGAGGGTTCAGCTCTGGAGACTGGTAGCTTGACTATGCTGTTCTGCTAGCTACTACCCAGTTAAACAGAAAGGCAAGCTGCAGGCTGGAGAAATGAATCAAGGGGTTCATTCAAATTGGCGAGAAAAGCAATGTCAGACATCAACAGATAAACAGCCAAAGGAAACAAACTGAAAATTCATAAAAGAAAAATAGAATTAAGAAACAAATAATTGAGAAAAACTGATTTGTAATGAAAAAATGCAAACAATACCAAAGTTAGGGAAATGATACCAGTTCTCTCAGGCTTTTCTAGCAGAACTAAACACATACCACACTTCCGAAAGGAAATTCAGCAGTAATTTATCAATATGCATTAAAAAAAAAAACACATAAAGTAATTTATTCAATTTGACCCAGCTGGATATTTGAGAACCATTCCATAGAAATAATCTAAAATATGGAAAAATCATAAAACAAACGTGTTCACTTATGAATTATTTATAGTACTGAAGATCTGGAAGCCACTTAAGTACACATCAATAGAGAAATGGCTAACTAAATTATGGAGTGCCCATTTTATAGGCTATTATATGGCATTAAAACAATAAAAAAGCTATGGGGTCACATTTAAAAGTGCTTATGATATTAAGTGAAAAATTATATGTGCATTATATTTTACATGTAAGCACACACGTAAAAGAAAAAGTGTAAGAGAATATACACATAATGATAATAGGTATTCTGAAGTGGTGGGTTATAGGTGGTGTTTTCCCCACTCTCTATTTTCTAAACATTCCAAACTATTATTTTACTTTAACAGCTAAATGATAGCTACTATTTACTGAAAACTGACTATGTACCAGGTTCTTCATAGGCTTTTTCTCATTAGGACTTCATAACAATTTGTGAGATAAGTCGTATTATTATTGTAGGTTTACAGGTGAGGACATCTGAGTAGAAAGAGGTTAAGAAACTTGCCCAAGGGCACACAGCCCATAAGCAGAAGAGTCAGAATGAGAACAAGGCAACTTCATCATTTCATCTGCTTTCCAAAATGATAAGACAGAAAGAATTTGTATTCAAAGAGAGGTGTTCTCCCAAGACCTCTTTTCTCTGAAAAGCCTTTCCCCACCCTCCCAGGCAGAGTAGAAGCTTCCTTCTCTGGGCTTCCATTGCATTCTGAGTTGGCTTCTATCACAGCCCTTAGCACCCTGTAAGACAGTGATCTGTTTACTTGTCAGATTAAGCACCAGCCCTGAACTCCTTGAAGAAGGAACAACATGGAGTTTACCTGGCTCAGCAGATGCCAATAAATATTTAACAGCTGAAACAATGATTGTTTATTAATTACATTATGGAATATGCTTGGACAATATTTAGAGCTAAACAATTTAGTGATCTTGAGATAAGGTGACCCAGAAATATGGCTGTGGTGGTCAAGTGTTCTGTTGGGTGTCCACTGACTGATAATTGCCACTTTCCAAGACTCCCCTGAAAGCCTAAAGAATACAGAGCCTTCAGGAATTGCTAATGGTTGGAGCACCAGGGTTTTCTAACATTTATTTTCTCTACTTAGCTACGTATAATATCTGGCTTAAAACCATGGTCTTTAGAGAAACGGCAACCCACTTTGAGATAAGCACACAGTGAGGAGAGCTGAGGAGATGATATGTGGATGAACATCAGGCAAGACATGCTAACCCTCAGTGAGGTTGAACCTCCACTGACCAGAAGACCGAGCAATTTCCTTGTGACTGAGACACCTGGTGAAACATCCTGAGAATAGGAATTGGGAGAACACGTAAAATTCTACAAGATTCCATTAGAAGAACAAAGTTGGGAGGAAGGGAGAAAGAGAAGGAGGGAGAAAGGGCTGACCAAAGGTAGAAAAATGACTATTTGTTGACTGACTACTATGCGCTGGGGATTTTATTGCCATGGTGTATTACTCAGGTATTATTGATGCCATTTATCAGAAGACTGAACTGAGGTTTCAGAAGATTCTGAGTAACTTGTGCAAGGGCAAATGCATGGGAAGAGTCAGGGCTGGGACCAGGCTCCTGGAACACTGCAGAATTCTAAGGCAGGCTCGTGCCATTCTCTTGCCCTTGGAGTGACCCTGTGTCAGGGATGTCCTGGGGCCTGCTAATTATCTGGAGGGGAAAGAAGGAGAAGAGCATTGCTCCAGGACTTAGTGGAGAAGGGCTGTCTCTGGCAGAAAGTATATGGGGCTGGAGTCTTCACTTGCTCCTCACATTCTCAGAACAGCCTGAGAGTATAGGGAGGTGACTGTGGGTCCAAATCACAAGAAACAAAGTCATAGTCCTTTTCTCCGAGGTTTGAGAGAGAAAGTCACATTCTTTCTCTCTTACCTCCAATGGAAAGGACTTGAGTTCACATGAGAAATCACTAAGGGTCCTTCAACAGCCCTTGACTCCAATCCTATCTTCTTCATTATAAGATAAATTGGGCCTGAATCTAATGGAAAATAGGATCCCTGAGAAACCTGTAACTCTTACCCAACCCCAAAGTCCATTCTGAGGCACCCCCTGGGGCCCTTATTGACTCAGAAAATACGCAGCTAATTGCTCTAATCAATGTGTGCATGTAAGGGTTGACAGTTACCACCCTCCCTGTCCTTCCCGACCTGCCTAGGAGAACAGACTCCCGGCACTTTGAAGCTAGACTAAATCACCTGGTCAATCTCTCTCTGTCTCTCTCTCTCTCTCTCTCTCTCTCTCAGTAGAGACCGATGCCCAGCTAAGGAACCCCACCATCTTGCCTTCAGTGATGTCTTTCCCCCTCCTCCTAACCTTCCCTCCTCACATCTTTTTTTGCGTTGCTGTCCCAAGTTTATGAAACAACTACCCTCCTGCCCCATTCCTTCAAAGGGCACCAGTTTTTCCAAGTTTCCCACTGGCTAATCTAGTCTCCAAGTTGGAAAAACACCTTAAAGGTGACGTATCCCACACTGTCTTCCATCTGGTGTTAGAATCTCCTCGAGAATCTCCCCATTCCCACTTTCTACCCCTAGAGGTTACCCAGACAAGCCTCCAAACCTCTAGTGACTGTTGTCCTGGGGAAACAGGGTCTATATTTAGCCCAGCCCCAATTGCTAGAAAAGTCTTTCTTTTATTGAATGTAAATTTATCTCACCATAATTTCATTTATTTATGGACTCATCATTTAATAAATATTTATTGAGTATTTATTATGTACCAAGCATTGTACTTCCACCAAATCTCCATGGGGGGCACATACACCAAGTTTTTGCACTTGACAGCCCTTCAAATCTTTGAAAGCTACTATCGTATCCCATCCCATCCATCCCCCCAACTCCCTTACACACACACCTTCTCCTGAGCAAACATCCCCATTCTCCACTCATTGCTGGGTGACATCATTACCTTTTTGGTTCCTCTCCTTTGGTTGCATGCTCCGTAGAAGTGTGACATTTGGAAATGAGTTTAATACTCCCAGGATAGAGTAGAGGAAGACCCTCAACTACTTCATTTGAATACTGTGCTCTATTTTTGCAGATTATGATAACATTCCTTTTTCTAGCAGCTACATCTCTCTGTATCTTTTCCACTGAAACTTTTTCTATCATCCCATCTTTGTTCCAAATTACTAATGTGGCCCTTAGAGTTCACTTTCTTGTCTAATTATATTCAGTTTTGCATTGTTCCTCTTGTTCTTATATGATCATTTTGTTCTTCAACTAGATTCTAAATCCTGGGCAGATTCTATTTACAATGCATTTTCTTCATATTATTCATTTTATCCTTACAAGTAATCTGATAAGTCCTAATATTATCCCCATTTCACAAATGAAAAACCTGAGACGCTAAAAGTCCAGTAATTTACTGAAGTTACACAGGGAGTTGTGGGCAGGACTCTTATTTTAATTCAGGCACTCAGACTCTAAATCTTGGATCTTTACAGCTCACATTTACTTCTCCCTCAAGCTCCAGACACAGGGCTGAGCACATAAAGAGTGCTCTATGAAAACTTGTTGCCTGTTTGGTTTATTGATCAAAAATCTGAAGACATAGTTTCTTCATCCATCTGTTAAATGGAGATAAGCAGAGTTGGCAAACTGGAAGATCCATTTTATACACATGCCCACTCTAACCTGCCCCACTGTATAAGTGCTAATCACAAGAGAAGATCTTAGAGTTGCTGGAGAAGATGACCGTCCTTCCTCCCTCCCTCCCTCCCTCCCTTCCTGCCTTCCTTCTTTTGCCTTAACCAAGCAGCCTTCCTGGGATACAGTAAGGGAGGAAGAGTCTGTTGGGTTGACAATGTTGATCCTGCCACAAACTGACTAGAATCATTGTGCTATTGGCTATACTACAAATGCTTAGATACAGTTTGTTTAAATGTCAGTAAAGCAGAGACACTTCTGTCTACCTTGAGAGTTTGGATAAACCTGTGCACATGGGGAGACACAGAGAACCCATGATACTCCAGCCTCAATGATCACACTCCACAGTCCTTGAACTGAGATCAAAACGTCTTTTCTGGTGGCCTCCACATTTAGGTAATGTGCACAAAAGATGCAATAATAGTGAAGCAAACCCCATTTGCCCCTACAGCAGTTGAAATATCCACTCTTTTCTAGACCTCAACTGATGTAAAACAAGTATTAAAAAAGAGACAACAGGCCCAAAATGGGGTCACTTGTGCTAAGCCCAAGACTTCATACCTAACCTAAATGTAGTTTTAGCCTTTCCCAGGAATGTGAACCTCACCAGTCAGTCTGGAATTATCTGGTCAGCACTAGTGAGGTAATCTGCCTGACAGACCCCTGTCGCCCTCAAAGGAAGGTGACCTTGCCTATGACAATTCACTCTTCACTAGTAACTTCCTTGTTCCACCTCCTTCCGCCTATAAAGCCTTCCATTTTGTACAGCTCTTTGGACCTCTTTTATATTTGCTAGCTAGGATTCTGCCCAATTCATGAATCGTTGAATAAAGCCAATAAGATCTTTAAAATTTGCTCACTTGAATTTTTTTTTTAACACAAGTGTATGTATTAAAGAGGAAGCAGAAAACTTTCTTAACGGTGTCAATTTCAGCAAAGGCAATATTTGTCAAGAAAGCTTGGGTTATGCCTAGCGACCTCTGACTTTGGAAACACAGCCTTTCCTTTCTGAAAGGCCTGCAATGCCCCTTTGCATTCCCCTCTTAGATTATGTCTTTTCATCAAAGTTAGATCTATGTTGAATGTACACTTACTTGATCTGCAAATGCATTCGCCAGAGACAAATATGGAGATGGATATGTTGCAAAAATGTGTGCTGTTGCATTTTCTCCCACGATGAGCAGTTTTCCACCAGCAAAGGACATAAGTCCATCTACGGAAGACAGAGCTCTGGCATGTTAGCGTACTCTGGGAAGGAAAGAGGGACACGTGTGCCAGGTCTTGCGCTAAAGAACCGCAGTCAAATACTCAGGTTCAGTGTGGCAGATCCATATCATTTGCCTCTCTTCGCTTCATAGTATGGTAGTTTTAGAAATGCCCAGAGAAATCCCAGGATGGTGGGTCAAAGGTAGAAAGCCCTGGCTGCCCTTGATGGTTCACTCTAAACTTGAGCCAGATCCTTAGCCAGTGAGTCCTGGGAACCAATCTTCTTTTGGGGGAATTCTTGGAATTTTTGAGATTGACTGAAAGCCAAAGTGGAGCTTGGACTTACTTTAGGCAGAATTCCCAGAGGGTTCTCAGTAACCCCTAACACCAGTCCAGAATTTGAGCGTGTCATGGTACAGTGCAGATGACCTTAGGGCAAGGAAGACAGCAGTCCCCCACATAGCCAGTGCTGACCCCAAGTCTCTCTTGCCACAGCAGCTGGCTTTCTGAGTCTCTGGTCTGGTCTTGAATTCCCCTGTAGTCTTCTTAGGCTCTAATTCTCAGAAAGACACTGTGGGAAGAGGCCTCTTTCCACAATGTATTTCTTTAAGGCTTGGTTCATAAATTCTAGCTCCTAAGCCCTTCAGTTTGAGAAGTCATTGTGTATTGAGACTTACCTTGGGTTAGCCAGAAGGAACTACCTTAACAGTTGATTTCATGGAACGCCAAGATTTTTAGTTTGAAGGGCCTTGGAAGTCATCTAGTTCAATTTCCTCATTTTCCAGAGGAGGAAACCAATAAGGTCAGATGACTTATTTAAATCACACAGCTACTTATTTAGTTCACACAGAACCAAAGTCTGGGTCTTTGATTGTCGGGACAGTGTTTTGCCCCCAGGACTGTTGCAGAACAGAAGCCCTGGCTGTTGGACAGAAGGGGGAAGAGGTTCCCCACATAGCCCGTTTCTCTGCTGGGCCTCTTCCTTCGAAGACTATGTTCTACATTCCTTCTCTAAATACTTACTCGTCATAGCCTTTGCCACCAGTCAAAGCCTCCTCTCTCAGCCAAATAAGAGAAAGCCACTGGCCTATTGCTTATTTTGTATATGTTCACACTGTAGTCCTGGTTTGGCCTAAAGATAGACTTCCTTTAAGTTCTGCTACCCATTTAAGTTGTGACCATTTTCATTAAGAGGTTTCATGAACTTACCCTAAGGATAACGTTGGCCCTATTATTTAGAAACTAGAACTCTTAGAACTGTCTATGAATTGTAGAATTCTTCTTTTCTTGCCTTATCTCACTTCTTCCTACCAAGTAATTCTGACTTTCAAATTATGCCCAGCTCTCCCTAACCTCCGGACTCAGGGGCCCTACTCACCATAGTAAATGCCAAAGAGAGTTGCTGCCCCTGCAAAAGCCCCCAAGAACTGGGCTCCCACATAAAAAGGAAATTTGTACCATTTCATCCTTCCAAAGAGACACATTGCAAAAGTCACAGCCGGGTTTATGTGGCCACCTGCAAGGAAGAAAAGATGATTAGTAATGTCAGAGGGCAGGCCAGGGAGAATTATTATGAAGAAAACCTTACGTAGATACCTCAGCAGAACTCAGTCTTCTAGGTAGAGAGCTGTACGTGAGGAGACAGAGGCTTGTATGTGGGTGTGTTTGAGTGGGCAGGAAGGGAGGGCCAATAATCTTCATGGCATCATTAAACATTGTTTAGGAAGTTTAGTCTTCTGAAAAGGGAGTCAGACATAGAAAGAAACTTGTACTCAAGTGGTTCATTTTCTTACTCTCTTTCTTTCTTTATCTATCTGTCTGTCTATCTGTCTATCTATCTATCTATCTATCTATCTCTCTAATCTATCTATCTATCATCTATCTACTGGGTTTTATCGATCTATAAAGCAATAACCCCAAAGAGATTGATGTAAATTGTTAATTTCAATATATATTTTTTAAAGTCACTAGCAGTTCCTTAGTCCATGTCCAGAGGACATAAAAACAATCTTAGGACTGAAAAGAGACGCCTCTTTAAGGGGGAATGATCCTTGGTAGGTGGGCTGTGCCTCTCACTGGGGTAAGCGGCTCAGTTTATTTTGAGGTGATCACAGTGTCTGAGTGGATTCTCCACAATTCCTCTGCATAAACAGTGTATTTTTCTCACATCCAGAAATGTAGCAACACTTCCATCACCCCAACCTCATCTATGGCTAGAGAAATCAGCCTCTTTGATTCTCATGTAGCCACAAGATCAGATAGAGGGTTTGCTCTGTGGTAGGTCACTAACATCCCCAGCTGGCTTGGCTAGTAACAACAATATGGATTGAACACTTGGCAGACGCCATCACTGGGGTATTACATGCACTTAATCCTTGTAAGAACCCAGCGAGATGAGTTCTACTCCAGTTAACTGGTGAGGAAACTGAGGCACAGAAGAAAGCTATGCTTTTCTTGAGTCTCTAAGCCATAGTGGGTTTGTAGCTGCGAGGTTCTGGCTGCTGGCAAAACCACAAGAATCCTTTCTTCCCCTGCTCCTGCCACTCAGGGGCTTATATGAGCGAGAAAATTCCAATATATCAAAGCATAAATGACTTCCTGAAGCCTTACAAACAGGTCAACTGTTTTGTTTTACTTTTAAATCCAAGAGAGCCACAATTCTGGTGACTAGCAGGAGTGTGGCTTACAAGGAAAGCTGGAAACAGGGGTTAGGAGAAGGGAGCATACACGGTGGTGGAAAGTTCCTGAAGTCAGCCCTGTTCCTATGCACCCAAAGGATGGTTGGAGAGCAGCCACAACCTAGCCAGTCCAGAGGGACCCATTGTGAAAGGACAAGGGGACATAAGAAATCACCTCCTCAGAGATACCTCCCCTCATGCAAGTTCACCAATCTAAGAGTTATTTGTTTAGCAAGCTCCTGTTCCGAAATAAAACTTCCTGTAGATAGGTTTATGCTTTTGAGCCCCTCATAAGCACCCTGAGGCAGGAACTATTATTCACCTTGGACTTCACCTGTTGCAAGGCCCTTCATAGGTGTTCAAGATTTGAAAGTTGAAGAAATAAGTAGTCAGAGGCCTTTATTCAGAGAGCTCAGACTACAAAGATCTACAGAGAGAGAAAGTTGTTTGGGCGTCACAGAGGGTGTGTCTGTGAGGGTGCTTTGCAAAGCAATGAGGAAAATTTCTCCTTGCAGAGATGAATGGTCGCCCTGGCTTAGTGGAAGGAAAAGGCAGAGCAGTGTAGTGGAAAGAACATGAGTGCTGGAGTCAGAGGGGTGCACTTGGCCCTTGTCTCAGCCCAGCCAAGGTTGTTGTGAAGATCAGCTTATTTACATAAAGAGCCCGGGGGTGCAACCAGAGTCAAGGAGGCCTGAGATGAAAGCCTTATGTGAGCAGGGTGAACATTTTCAAGGTTCTCTTCTGGACAAGTCCCCTCCTCCCCACTACCTACAGACGATTCTGTGATGGAGCTAACCTTAGTATTTTATTTGTCATTAAGCAAAGCTATTTTGCTTTTCCAGGGAATTTGTATTACTTATGAAATGCTACATCAAAAGCAACCACCATAGTCTAGGTATGAGTATGCAGTGTAAACACTTCGTGGGGGACGCCACACAATTAGGGCACTGTGGGTTCTGATTGGCGGGTTGGATTGCCAGCCCACTGGCATGTTCGCAAGGGAGCCAGGTGCAGTAACTTCCCTGCAGTCAGGGCATGTTTTATAGCTCAAAACCACAAGTCAGCTGACCTCACCAGTCTGTGACCACAAAATGGGATCCCATTTATGTTTATGCCCGATATACGTTAGTTGTTTTTGGAATCCTCAAAGAGGGCCTCACATGTGCCCACAAACCAGTATCCTAGCTGCAGCCACCATGAGAAAGTCGCCTCCCACCCACAGTCTTTCTCTCCTATTCCTGTGGCTGCTGAAGCCAATACTGACGTTGGTGTGGATGTCATCGGTGGGCCATTGTGTTGTCTTGGCCTGTTTCCAAAGCCACCAGTCCTCAGGGAACCTGAACAGCACTAGATTCCAAACAGAGATGGGGAGATAAGCTCTCTTTCCAACCCAATGCTAACTTTTATCAACCAAGCTCAGACACCGTTCTACTTGTGTTTTGGGGTCTCACTCTCTTGTAAACAATCTGGTCAGCTCCTGACCCTTACCCAGAAACAAGCTTTAGTGAAAACAGTCCTGTCAGTTCTGTCCCTCACCCCTCTGAGCACAGGGGCTTAACCCCAGTCCAGGGCCAGATGGGAAGGCTCCACCTCCTCGCTCTAGCTATGTTGGTAGGATCTGGGAACGATTTATCTTAAGCAAATATTTGACAATGTTCAATTTAGGGTGTTATGCAAGCGAAATACTCCAAAACCACATCTCCAGCTAAAATAATAGCTGAGAATATGCCCACATTTATAGTGCATGGTTTGTGGAAATCACACTTCTGTAAATGTAGTGGGAGCATGTAGGGGGTGGCAGCAGAGCATCCCGCATGCTTGCTCTAAGCCAGGACTGTGTTCTGCGTCTGGTGTCAGGTCCGCACTGTAATTAGGCCTTGGTACAGTCCAGCAGTCCCCTGGTTATTCTGATGCCCTAGGAAGGGAGTACGGTGCTGGGGTCACAGCAAAGGCTTGACAAGAGTGTGAACAGATACACTGCTCATGCCAAACAAATCACATACTATACAGTAATCTGTAACCCGGACTGCCCCAGGATCTGAGTCCGACTGTGATATGGAAAAGGTGCCAGCCAGCAAATGACTGTTCCAGGTGCCCAGCCCAAGGAGGCTCCCAGGGAGTCTGAGCAATCATTCTTCAGGGCTCCGATGACAGCATTTGTCACCAGGACAGCCAGCTTAACTGCAGGATCCTCCGGCAGGACTCTTCTGCCCAAAGGCCCTGCCTGGAATGCCCTTCTCATAATAGACCATTCGAAATATTGTGTAATATTGGGGACATGAGCTTTGCAGTCACATAGATCTGGGTCAAATCTTTGCTCTGCCTCTTTGGTAAAGAGGGACTTTTTGTCCCGATGACAGCTGTGGGACTTCCAGCAATTTATTTAATCCCACGTAGCTCCAGTTTTCTCTGTAAAATGGAGACAATAATACCCGCCTCTGAGTGCTGCTGTAGAGGAGAGACGAGATGAAGTATGTGCAGCACCAGCAGTGTCCAGCATCACCAAGAGTCTTGCCTTAGACTTTCAAGCACCTAGACCAGGTTGCTGAAAGATTCCGAGTGCCTTTGGGAACTGGATCATTTCCACATCAACTTCTTCCTAAGTTTCCAGACTGCATTAAATATCATCATTTCATTTTGCTTCTCAGAACCTTGAGAATGGCTTCTCATCAACCCACCTCAGGGCAGAATTAGACCAAGACCTTTCGGATCAGACCTGCACTTCCGTGAAAGGACTAGCCATTTTGCAATGACCTAGACTCTCTCTGATGGCTGCGGATCGAGGTCTAGGGACTCGCCTCTGTTGAAGTGATCTTCACTGGGCTATTCACAGAGTATCTGGGAAACAGTTTCCCAACATGGGGTAGAACAAGTAAAAGATCATTTTGACAGATGAAGAATATGATGCAGTGGTCAGATTTAGGAATCAGCCAGTTCTGAGTTCTAACCCCCATCTCTGTCTCTTGCTAAATGTTGCCTTTGCCCAAGTCGTTAACTATTTGCTGGCCATTTTAATATATCATCTATAAAAACAGAAGCAAATACATATTCCTGCAGGAGTGATATCTGAATAAACTAAAGACTGGAGAGCAGCCAGCACTATTCTAGCACACTGCAATGAGTTAATAGTCCCCATTATTATTTCTATTGCTTACCAGAGACACCTCCAGTCACATAAATGGCCATTACAACTGCTGATGCAAATCCAACATTGATAGTGACAATTCCTCCAAAATGTCCTCGACTGAGGATAGCTTGGGCAACAGAGCCACATCCAAGGACCTAGAATGAGAAGAAACTCAACAAGTAAGTGGCAGTGGCCACTGTTAAAGATAATGGATAGTCACAATAACAAGAAATATTTTTTAAGCAAAGTCCATGGATTGGGCTCTCTCAGGCTTCATACCAATCAAATTATAATGATCCACCTGCGTACAGATAGCAAAATGGTGGTCCCGAAACTGCATCTGGCTTACGGGTGAGTTTTGCTGGGCCTGCACAGTGTTAAAATTTGGCTACATTTATAATTTCGGTCTTGTCACATAATGATCCAGGTTTCTGGCTTTTATTTTAAATTAAACTTTTTATTTTGAGATAATTGTAGATTCACATGAGGTTGTGAGAATCGACGCAGAAAGATCCCATGTACCTTTTACCCGTTGGTTCCTTTTCATCAATCAGAACATCTAGCAACCCACAGGAAAATAACTTCCTGGAGCAAAGTAGCAGGTGGCTGCTCCCCTTTAAACAGAGCATGTGCTCTCCCAAATGGCTCACTTTGCTTCGCTTCACTCATTTAGGTCTCCCTTCTGGCCCCTGTGGCATTTGGGTTTGAGATCCCTGCTCTAGAGGCTCCAGTATACACTAGATGAGACTCACAAACAATCACACACACATCCTACAAGTGGAAGGGCCATTTGTACCATATGCAGGGCCATTAGAAAGAGTGTGATGTGCAAGAAAACAAAGGAAACTGTGCGGGGGTAGAATTGGCAATCAAGCCCTCCTCATCCCAATGTCTTTTCTCCCTGGTGAGACTGTAGTTTCCTGGAGAGCAGAGGCTGCCAAATTTACTGCTTCTTGCATTTCCTATGGCACCAAGCACAATGCACAGCTGCACAGCTGTACAATGAAGGTGAAGTATGAGAGTGAGCCTTCGACAATATTCAGCTGGTGTAGGATGTTTTGGAGAATAGAATCAGTGTTCAGAAAGGTTTGGAATAAATATATTATGTTCTGTCCACTCAACAGAATACTATGCAGTCATAAAATAGAATGAGGAAGGTCTGTGTGTACCAAAGTAGAAAGATCCCCAAGGTATATTATTAAATTTAAAAAAGACGCAGAGCAGTGTTACAGTACACTGCCAATTGTATTAAAAATACATTATATATATTTCTTTTTATATGCATGGGCTATCTCCATGAATGCACAAGCAGTCGAAAGTGGAGTTGGACCCTGTAGGAGGAAACTTGATGGCCAGTACAGGTACTGAAAGAAAACTTTTCAGTGTGCGTGTGTGTGTGTGTGTGTGTGTGTGTATTTTTTTTTTTTAACCAAGTATCTTAGTTCATTTGGGCTGCTATAACAAAATACCACAGACTGGGTAGCTTATAAGCAACAGAGATTTATTTCTCACAGTTCTGGAGGCTGGAAGTCCAAGTCCAGGGTGCCAGCCTGGTCAGGTGAGGGCCCTCTTCCCGGTTGCAGATTGCTCTCTGTGTCCCTACATGGTGGAAGGGGTGAGCTAGCTCTCTGGGATGTCTTTTATGAGGGCACTGATCTCATTCATGAGGGTTCTGCCCTCACGACCTAATCACCTCCCACGGGGCCTACTTCCTAATACCATCACCGTGAGCATTAGGTTTTTAACAAATGAATTTTGGGGGAGACACAAACATTCAGACCATAGCATCATGTATTTCCTAATTGTTAAAAAATGGGTCCTATATATTCACTGAACAACCAATTGAAAACATTTAATTATGATCCATTAAAGAGCCATCTGGTGAAGGAAGGTTATTGGGAAAGACGGAACTGTTGCAGACAAGTTTGGTAGGAAAATAACAAGGCAACAAATGACCATCAGCCATCGTCATGCTGTGGTTTACAGACCTCGTGTGGTCCTGGAGGAGTAAGTTCTGGACTGTAGAATCGTTAGGTCATTACTCTTTGTGTGTCCAACTGGCCGAACTTTTTCTAGAATACAGAGTCCTGTTTGGGTTTCATTGCTACAGACCAACCAACTCGAGGGAGAGCTCAGCACCAAGTAATGAATATTATTTAAGGGTGTATGAGGAAAGATTTCAGAAAGAAATATATTTAAGAAAAAAGAAATTAAGAATGTGAACGCTTCTTTTCAGGAAGGAAGTCACCAGCTATTGTGTCTCTTCACAAAGGGATGAAAGGGAAGTCTGAAACTGAAATACGAGCGCTTGCACATAAACAATTTCCTGGTAGTGATGAATTAATTCTAAAGAGCTCTCCCAGGGCGCATTTGTGAGGTCTTCCAGAGACATATAATTTACAAACAAGGGATATTTAATATATATAGAATGATTTTGGTTTACTCCTTCCTGAAGACAGAGAAATTACCTAGATGATCTTTTAAGATCCCCTCCAGTCCCCAGTTCTAAGCTATATTGACTTGTCTTAGTTCTAACTGCTAGACAGCAGGGAGAAGTAGGCGGGCTTGACATCTCGAGGGAAGCACTCCACATCACACGCACACGGCTCTCTTGACTCTAATCACAGCCTTGGCTCCAGACCCTACACTGAGCACTAAATAAAGCTGCAGCAGGAACATGTTCCCTTCTCCCTTTTCAAAAAAATCCCCTAGGTCCATTGCATAGCCTACCAACTTCACCTAGACTTGACATTTTTTTTTCTAGAATCCCTACCCATTATAATAACTGTCAGAATTAAAACCACATTGGTATCTTTCTTTCTTTTTTTAATTTAGAGCCAAATAAATGCCCTGGGCACAAGCTAACCGGCATCTTGATAGCATCTTCTGAAAAGAAGAAAAAAATATTACTGAGATGACCTGATTTAGACAACCGGGAGGTTAGAAGAAATGCATCCAGACACAGGCCAGTCCTGAGCTATTACTGCTTTCTGAATAAGCATCTTCTCTCTTTTATGGTTTGATGTGCATGATGCACTTGTGCTAGTCCAGAGGGGTCACAAAAACTTTAAATGGCCTGAGTGGACCCAGGGAGGCCTCTGTCCTGTAAAATTTCACTATGATTAATACTCTCCTCTTCCACCCTAGATGCTGAATTTGCTTTTTTGTTCTTTTCTCGGGAAGGTAATCGATGCTGTGCACTGCAGGAAAGGAAGGACTTCCTTCCTTTGTGAGGACTTCCGTTACCCTCAGCAGAAATCGCTACTCAGAAGATTTCAGCCCAGATTTACACCATTGCTTCTTAATTTTTAAGTACATTTATTATAGCCTGAAAAGCAATGAGGAAGACAGGTAAACTGCCTACTAGTATCTTCCCTCGCCTGACTCCTTCCACCCACATTCACAGCACCAGGGAAGCAGATCTTAGATATTCGAAAGTATCATGGTCTGATTGCTAGGAAATTGGTCCTCCACTCTAGTTTCCTTCTTCTGTGTTCCCAGTGTAAGTGTTTTCCTTAAAAGATGAGAGAACTGTTCTTTATGGTATTACTGATAAAATTTCCAACATGATTCCGTGCTCTAACCTTTAAGAACCACTAACTGTTCCTCTTCTTAGACACAGAAAGAGCCTAATATCATATGCATCCTGTCTCAATTTTCCTGGTGTCCCGGTCTAGAAAGCTTTTTGGGACTCATCACCCTTTCATATTCTTCTCACCAAATCTACCCTCTCTTCTCTGAAATTCAACTGTACTGTCTATAGTATACAATTAGTACTTAGTTGTTTTCCAAGAGCCTGATCTTGATTTTCTTACCTAGAAAACAATCTCTAAAATTCCTTCCCATACTAACAGCCAATAATATGCTGATCTATTCTGTTTTATTCTGTTCCCTTGGGTGTTGTGTTTCTCACATCCACCACCCTCTCCTCCTCTGCAGGCCGTCTACAGACCTTCAAGGTCTCTTCCACCTTCTTGTCAGGATCCAGCACCTGCTCAATCTAGGCTGCTTTCTCCAGCAGAGTTAGTAAAATCACAAAACCGTGTAGGGGAGGGAGGGTACTACAAAGCCATGGACCTAGTCTTCGCTGTGCCCCCAAAGCTCTTCATTCTTCTCTCATTCATATTCTCCCAATAGTGTCACCAAGCCTTCTCTTCTCTCATCAGCTGAAGGCACCCAACCCCTTTCTGCAAATAATGCCACCTTCTCCTTGTCTTGGCACCTATAAGTGGCCTTGAAGATAAATGGCAATTCAGAATATCACATAAGCATTGTGTTCCAGTTACTCAGTGCTACGTAACTACCCCCAAAGTTAGTAGCTTAAAATGATAACATTTATTTTGCTTGTGAATATGCGATTTGGGCAAGGTTTGGCAGGGTATCTTATCTCTGCTCCATTTGGTGTCAAATGTGATGGTTCAAAAAGTTGGAGGATTGCAATTATCTGAAGGCTCACACATTCACATGTATAGTGGTTGATGCTGGCTGTCAGCCAATGCCTTAGCTGGGGAGTTAGCCAACACAACTGGCCTTTCAGTGGGGCTTAGCTTCTTCACAACATGGTTGCTGAGTTCCAAGGGTGAGCACCATATAGGCTCCAGAACCAGCATTCTTAAACCCTGCAGCACACTACCTCTCAGCATAGCACTATGTTGGTTCTAAACTCAATAGCACACAAACTACAACATCCTAAATAGGTGTTAACCTGGCCCACGTTGATTACCTTTAGGGATAGGGAGCTCATTACCACATCAGGCAGCTTGTTCTATACATTTTTGGTGTTCTAGTGATTGGGAAAGCCTTCCTTATAGGAAGTTGGAGTCTTCTTTCCTGTAACTTTTGCCGTTAGCTCCTGGCCCACTCTTGGGACCATGGAGAAGCTTCTTTCACATACCAAGCATTCCAATGAGTGGAGAGAGCATAATGTCCTCCCTGAGTTCTTTTCTCCTAGATATCTGTCCCCTCATCTTTGATCCCCGGGGCTCCTCAGATTCTCAGCGAGTCTCACCTGGATAAGCTCTAGGTTGTCAGCATCCCTCTTAAGACACAGAGCCCAGAAATGGACACAATCCTCCCATACTTATGCATCATATTATGACGTGGTAATTAATCACTTACCTTCTGCTCGTTGCTTCTATTGCCATCTAGTGGGGCA